AAATACAATAGGGGATATTTTCCAATTGGGAAACCTTTTTCTGGTGACAACTCTCTAAGGGGAAACATATCATCACTTTCAAAACATCTCCTCTTACTTCCTGCAGTCTTTCTGGGTCAAAACCCTAATGGGACACTGACAGCAAAGAAGCTGATAGTTAATATGATTATTGGTGCATGCAACCTGTAAGGGGTTTGTTTCTAGTGGCAGGGCTGAGGGGTAATGTTTGGTGTGTGTGTGTGTGTGTGTGTGTGTGTGTTTAGAAGGGGATCAGGCCAGAAGTCAGCTTTAAAATACATTTAATTTTTTTTTTAATACTTTTTATTTTTTTTGCTAAATATTTACCTTGTGTGTAGCTTTAATTAGTATAGGGAATTATTAATTCCCAGCATGTTTGAACTCTCTTTGAAAACATGTATTCAAGATGGACTCATTAGAGGGATTCAAATATATAAATATGTTTTCATCAATGGATAGAATCTGAATTCATGCTAGACCTCTATGATGTATTTGGAAAATACCTTTGATTTACTTTTGCAGATTTTGAAAAAGCAACATTAGCAGTAAGTGAATGTATCACAACTAAGATATTAATATTGTTGTGACATTTAGTTGTGCTGTTACAGAGAATGTTGGATTATTGACATCTGTCCCCTAGAGGTTTACAATCTAATATGCCACATTCATACATGTATGCAAAAAATAAGCAGTTTTAGTTGATAAAATGATCCTAATAGAATGTCTTTGGATTGGGAGAGGAACTTATTGACTTTGGAGGAAAATACACATAAACAGTGGGAGACTAGGCAAACTCCAAGCAGCTGGTGTCCTTACGATTATCGGCCGAAACTTTTTGTCCGATGATCGAACCGTCGTACGATTGTCGTACGGCAGCCCCATCATGCCCCGATTATCGCACGGTTCAATTAGCCGTAATTAAAGAAAAGCACCTGGACGAATTGCGGTAATCGACCGCACGTATTTTCGTTTGCGCATGAGCAGTGTAGATTGTACGATTTTTGACGTACGGAAACGTCACTAACCTTGCGAAAATCGTATGATCGACCAAAGTTTTCAAACATGCTTGAAAGTCAAAAGTCGTACGATTGTACAGTATTTGTGGTTGTACACTGCCCATACACCTTGCGATTATCGGGCGAAAACGCGATCGCATACTATTATCATACGATAATCGTAAGGTGTATGGGCACCTTTAGGAATGTTAATTCTAACCACTAAGGTATCATACTACAACAGTATTGAAGTTCCACCATTATCTACAAGAACACAATATTTATACTGATACTATGGATTGTTTTTGCAGTAAAGTCAGTGATTGATGGGGCTGCTAGGGATCCTGGTGGTAGGAGGGGGCCCCCTTATTGAGGCTATTGAGGCAAATTATTCTGTGAACTCTGCTCTTTAAAATACATTTAATTTTTTTTTTAATACTTTTTATTTTTTTTGCTAAATATTTACCTTGTGTGTAGCTTTAATTAGTATAGGGAATTATTAATTCCCAGCATGTTTGAACTCTCTTTGAAAACATGTATTCAAGATGGACTCATTAGAGGGATTCAAATATATAAATATGTTTTCATCAATGGATAGAATCTGAATTCATGCTAGACCTCTATGATGTATTTGGAAAATACCTTTGATTTACTTTTGCAGATTTTGAAAAAGCAACATTAGCAGTAAGTGAATGTATCACAACTAAGATATTAATATTGTTGTGACATTTAGTTGTGCTGTTACAGAGAATGTTGGATTATTGACATCTGTCCCCTAGAGGTTTACAATCTAATATGCCACATTCATACATGTATGCAAAAAATAAGCAGTTTTAGTTGATAAAATGATCCTAATAGAATGTCTTTGGATTGGGAGAGGAACTTATTGACTTTGGAGGAAAATACACATAAACAGTGGGAGACTAGGCAAACTCCAAGCAGCTGGTGTCCTTACGATTATCGGCCGAAACTTTTTGTCCGATGATCGAACCGTCGTACGATTGTCGTACGGCAGCCCCATCATGCCCCGATTATCGCACGGTTCAATTAGCCGTAATTAAAGAAAAGCACCTGGACGAATTGCGGTAATCGACCGCACGTATTTTCGTTTGCGCATGAGCAGTGTAGATTGTACGATTTTTGACGTACGGAAACGTCACTAACCTTGCGAAAATCGTATGATCGACCAAAGTTTTCAAACATGCTTGAAAGTCAAAAGTCGTACGATTGTACAGTATTTGTGGTTGTACACTGCCCATACACCTTGCGATTATCGGGCGAAAACGCGATCGCATACTATTATCATACGATAATCGTAAGGTGTATGGGCACCTTTAGGAATGTTAATTCTAACCACTAAGGTATCATACTACAACAGTATTGAAGTTCCACCATTATCTACAAGAACACAATATTTATACTGATACTATGGATTGTTTTTGCAGTAAAGTCAGTGATTGATGGGGCTGCTAGGGATCCTGGTGGTAGGAGGGGGCCCCCTTATTGAGGCTATTGAGGCAAATTATTCTGTGAACTCTGCAGTCTAGAAGAACTGACCTCAGGGCTGGCCATGCAATGTTTGCAGGAATCGGCCCAAATTCTTAAAATGAGTGGCCCAGCCGAAAAAAACATTTTTTATCACACAGTGAATTCAGCCAATCAGCTGCAGGCACTGTAAATGTATTCTGACAGATGGAGGAATCTGTTGTATTTTTTGTTTTTGTTTAGCCCTCTAGGTGAACAAAAAAAATCTATTGATAGCCAGCTTAAACAGCTTTCATCGGGCTTTAAAAAATACCAGTGTTTTTTCACTATTAGTTTGCTATCTGGTAAGAAGGTTTAGGTTTGTAGTTCTGCAGATAAGAATTTAAAAAAGTTTGTATTTAGGATATAGAAGTATTCAAACTTAAATTTAAGCAGCATATAAAATCACAGCTTACTCTGAAAAATAGTGTTTTACTCTGCCCATATTGCCTTTTACTAAACACTGCACTCTTTCTTTTTATAACCAGTGCTAATTTTAAGTGACACTAAACTCAGGAATTAGATCTTAAAAATGCATTAGAGTACTTTAACTATCAACCAAAATGTATCTTATTTGTGTATTACTCAGCTGTAGATCCTCAAATCATCTCTATTCATACTGACACTGTCCTTCCTTCTGGAGGGGAGCTACTTTTGTTCCTGATTGTTCATGTGTGTGTTGTAAAGTCGTCACCATTCCAAGTTCACTTCTGTGATGGACTACAATCTCAATACAAATTAGTGAACTATACGTGAGATTGTAGTCCATCATGGGAGTGAGCTTGGAGCGGTGGCTACTTTACAACACACACAAGAACCATGGGGAACAAAAGTAGCCACACTCCAGAAGGGAGGACATTGTCAGCAGATGATTTGAGGATCTACAGCTGAGTGATACACAAATAAGATACATTTATGTTAATATTTAAGGTACGTGAGTCACTTTAAATGGCTGTAATGATATAATTACAATAATTGCAAAGTTTACAGTTGCACTCCTCATCTTAAAGCCTATCTTCAGGCATCTGTTAAAGTCAAATGTTACTTTGGAGTTAAATATGTTACGGATGGGACAGCTAGGCATAGAGTCAGGGAATGAGTATGGTGTATTATGTCTTGCTGTCTCATACCCATCCTTAACGTACATAACTCCAAAAACAAAATTATAGCTTGAACTATTGGGCTGACAATTGCCTTATTGAGTTAATAGTTTGCTTCTGATTCATACTGGCCTTGGCTACAAATGGTGCAGAAATAGTGGCTTCTAAATGTATGTGTCTCGTGAAAATTAGCAAGGAAAAACATAAATTGTACACACTATAAGCTGAAGTATTTATTACTAATATGTTTTTTTGCTGAAAGATGACTCTATCTGTTAGTACTTGCCAACAGTGTTTTCAACCGTTGTGTTTGCCATCCATAGATAAATGTTTCTTGCACAATGTCCCATACCTTAGGTGTCATTGACAGCTGCCCGGGCATACTAACGATATTGTGGTTACCCAACATGTGGCAATCAGCTATGACGTAGTGATCACTTGGCTTTGTTTATTAACACCTGTCACTTACAGTGACAGCTATTGGACAATTACATTCTATGTGCACTCTCTGCTTTGTAAATGTAGATATTGAAGATGCTCATAGGATGTACTTCCTCAATGCCCTGACACAATTTCCCTCAGCCCTGTCAATATGCACTTCCTTGTAACTAAGCCTGCCTTCTGAATTACAACTCAGTGTCTGAACTTCCCATAATGTAACATAATCATTGCTTGCTGGAAGAATTGCATAATGTGATATGTAGTCTTGAGAAATCAAGATTGCATCACATCAAGCAGCAGGGTAAGAGGCGGTAAGCACACTGGGAATGCAGGAAGTGGATGGAAGTGGTGGGTAGATGGAAGGCAGCACTTAAGGATTTTTTTTTGAGCAAACTTTAATTGCATTGTCAAAAACAGCTATAGTAAGTATTCCTATTACAATGCTGATGTTATAACAGGATAATATATGCTGTGACCTTAGAACTCCTTTTAACAGTGTTTAACTTTTTTTTAAATTAAATAAAAAATGTTTTGTCTATTTGCAAAGCTATAATAAAAACCTGAGCAAGATATTTATTAAAACATTGCATGAAAAAAAAAACCCTTATATGTCCTGAATTATTTTGTAAATTAGTTGTAGAGTTATTGTCAAGGTATTCTGCGCATATTGATGCTGCTAATTTTGTTTTGGGCATCTAGTATCCAATGACCTCTGGTCACAAAATTGTTAAAACCGATTGATGGAATAGGTGAAAAAATAGGAAGATCTATCTTTCCCCTAGCTGCTATTCTGCAAGGTCTTTTACAATTTCTTAGCATGTGCATAATGGCTTGTTACAATTATACTTCTAATTCTCATATATTCTAATTAGACATCCACTCTCCTTTTAATCTTGCAGACATAAAGCTCTGCAAAGTATCCATGGAATTTCCTAAAGGCAGTAATAATTCAGTGGTAATTGAGTTTGTTCTAACTGGCTTTTCTGATAGACCTGACCTGAAGATTTTTTTATTTATGATTTTTCTTCTTGTTTATTTAACTTCTATTTTGGGAAATGCCGGGATAATACTTATTGTATTTAACAATACCCTTTTTCATACGCCGATGTACTTTTTCATTAGCAACCTCTCCTTCATAGACCTCATATACTCATCAGATATTGCTCCAAAGATGCTGGCTGGCCTACTTTGTAGGCAAATAACAATCTCCTACATTGGCTGTGCAATGCAGCTTTTCTTTTTCTGCGCTCTTGGAAGTACTGAATGCATCCTATTTGCTGTTATGGCTTTTGACCGATATGTGGCAATCTGTAACCCATTAAGCTATAACTTGGTAATGCAGCAGAAGATGTGTCTGCAGCTGGTGTGTGAAGCTTTTACAGCCGGTCTCCTGCATTCTCTGATTGAGACTTGTCTCACCTTTCGTCTGTCCTTTTGTGTCTCTAATATTCTTCATCACTTTGCTTGTGATTTCCCTCCATTGTTAAGCATATCTTGCAGTGACACTTCCGTTAATGAGATTGTTATGTTTATTTTGTCCTCTTTGCTCACCATGCCTTCTCTTGTGGTCATTCTTGGGTCATATATTTCTATTTTGTTGGCTATTTTAAAAATAACTGGAACAGAAGGAAGAAAAAAAGCTTTTTCAACTTGTGCCTCACATATTACAGCCGTGACTTTACTATACACCACTGTCCTTTATGTTTATCTCAGTCCGAAATCCTCAGCTTCTAGAGATAATGTAAATATAGCTACTGTATTTTATACAGTGGTACTGCCCATGCTTAACCCAATCATTTATAGCATGAGGAACCAAGATATAAAAAATGTGCTAAAAGCAACATTATTAGGGAAATTAGGTTGCAATATATTATGTAGGGCATAAGCAGGGACAGATGTACAATCTATTTTTTGCTTCAGGTTGACTATCCTGTGTTGTTCCCTCCTACCACAGACAACTGGCTATCTGTAATCTGGGACGATTATAATTTTATATGAACGTTTGTGCTAGAAATCAGAAGAACATTTGATAAAGCTTTTAGAGACTTGATGAATGTTGTTCCACCTTTCGTTTGACTTTAACATAAGGTTTTAGAATGCATGGAGTTTCCTAAATGAAAACCACATTCACTGTTAGAATTTTGCTCTTTCAATTTTTTTCAGCACTATGATCGAAAAAGATCATCCATGTCCATGAGAAAATCTAATGAATGTTCCAAAACAGAAAATTTTAACCGTGTATACCCAGCTACAGTTTCACACTAAAAAAATTATAGGTTCACACAAGAAAAGTTGAGGCTGGGCGTGAAGGTGAACAATATAGTTTAACATTTTATGTATTACAGGTATTTATATAACACCAACAATTTACGCAGCTCTTTACATACTGCAGATTCATATCATTCCTCATCCTCAAGGAGCTTACAATCTGAGGTAATTTAGACAGGAGCAAATTAACCTTCCAGCATGTCTTTGGGGTATGGGAAGAAACCAAAGTACTTTCAGGAAACCCACAAATTCACAAGGAGAACATGCAAACTTCTTTGCATGAGACCCCCAGTGCTACATGGCAGGAGTGCTAGCCACTGTGCTGCCTATATATAAATAATATATGATTCACTTTTCTACACATGTTAATCAACACACCCCACCACTACTAGTGATATAAAGTGCATATGCCATATAATTAAAGGAATATTAATATCAAAAGCTTTTTAAGCTATTTCAAATGCTGAGTAAATCAATTACAATGGATGATGCTCCTTCATGTTTAAAAGTTTTAGCTTCCTGCAGAATCAGCTGTTCTCCTGAGCACTGGCCATGATATCCTGTATTTGGGTGGCTCCTTTTCCTTGCAGGATCCTATGGAGCCACCCTTGTGTGTGTTAGTAATCTGTGTGTGTCTCTACAAACACACAGGCACAGCAAGGCAAGCCACTCCCTACTCCTCCTATCTCCAAGCTAGCATATGGACACCTGCTGAAGACTGCTCTGTCCCTTGTAATCTTGCACTGAACAGGACGTTCAGGGAAGCGGAGCTGAGAGAGTTGGAGCCCACTTTGTTTGGAAACATGATGACTAAGTGATTGGGCAAAAATGTAAAGAAATACTTTGCAGGGCAATTTATATTTTTTGATCTGGATTCATTGTTGAAAAGTTCAGAGTTTAATACTACTTTAAATAAAATATTCAAGTATGATGTACAAACTTTCACTGCAAAATTAATATTGTAAATAAATAAATATACATATAAATTAAAAGGTCCTTTTTTATCACAAAAGAAAGTCTCCCTCATTCAAAATTAGCAACAGGTGTTGCAATAATAGGACCAGAAAAAAAATGTTTGTGTCAGAATCAGAAAATCTTTCTTTATATTCAGTGAATCTTCAATGATAAACTCTGCACATTATTCCATTTAAATTAGTGCGCACCTTTGACCTGAAGCTGAAACGTCACTCACCAGCCAATTTTACCTTTCTGTTTAGACAAAGGTAAATTGCACTTTCTAGGACATCTGTGACAATATTCCACCAGTGGAATCTGCTCCACATCCAATTGCACTCTTCTGGAATCCATACCTCAGACTTTATGACCTCACTATTAAAGGCAAATATCACTTTGGCAGTGCTGCTTCAGCAGATCTACTCTACCTCCTAATTGCACTCTCCCAGTATCTGAAAATCAGTAGAAATTGATCTAACATTAAATATAATAGCAAAAAATCACTAACATAAACTGTGTGCAACTAAGCACCATGTCTACAGCATGCTCAGCAGAAGGCAATTAGGGTTCCCCCACCAGCGTTTCCGCTGCTAATCTCCTGGATTAAGATATGGATCCTGGAAGAGTGCAATTGGAGGGGAAATGGATTCTGCTGGAGGAATATTGCCACAGATATCCTAGAAAGTGCTATTTACCTTTCCTGGAATACTCCACCTTTCATACCATGTGTAACATGGAACATGGTACCCTCAAACCACTTCCCAACCCTCACTTATCTGAATTGCAGGTTGTTTCTTCCTGCATTCTTTTGTATATTTTTGAATTCAGTGTGGTTGTGTGTGGCTTTGTCCGCTGTTAGAAGCCTTACTTAAATTACTAATGTTTAGGGATGAGCTTAGGTTCAGACTGAAACCAGTCCAAACCTGTGTTCCTGCAAACACGGAAGACCTGGAAGGAAACTCTTTCTGCTGTAGCCCAAGCAGCTGCGTCCAGAGAATTCCCCACTCGCAGCTGCATGTAAGTAAAGGGACAGTAAGCAAAGGATAGGATGCAGTGATGTCATTGAATTTATATGGCTACATGACTACATTAGGAAAATTACATTTACCTAAGATGCTCATTCTTTATAATACTGTTGTGCACCCACACAGCTAATGTTGGTGCACGTCCCAGAATGTACCTGTTGTAAATGGTCAGCTAGGTACTTAAAAGTAGACATGTGCGATTCGTTTCATTCCGAATCGAAATTCGGACGAATTTTCGGAAATTCGGATGTATCCGAATTCCGAATTACAGATATAACGAATGCAAAAGAATCCAAATTTCCGTTTCCGAAATTCGGTAGCGGTAGGTCGTTCGAACGTTCGTTTCGTTCGTTGGAACAAAGTGACATTAGAGAAGGAGAAAAACATTTTTCCCCCTCAAATGTCACTTTGTTGCGAACGAACGAAACGAATAAGAAACGAACACGTCCGAATCCAAATTCCGAATACGAATTGACTTTCACACCCGAATCCCGAAAAACGAAATAACACAAATCCGAATTTAAAACGAAACAAATTTTTTGGCAGTGCACATGTCTACTTGAAAGCGTCCTTAACTTTCAGTGATGCTAACACAGTTGACATCCACTTAGCAAAGCAATGACGTGTTGGTTGTTAAGAGGATGTCGGCTATGCAGTCATCGGCATCTTATCATCCAGTGACTCATCCCAAACCCAGTGACTCAAACGGGGGATGCTGGTTGACATCATTACCCAAATATGGCCATATCTGGGTAATGATGTCAGCCAGAATCCAATGCATAATTGGTGTCTTAGCAGCCAAGGAACCATGAGCTGGTGGCTGTCACATTTATGACAACTTCCCAGCACTCTGCGCACTGGCATCTTTCTGTACACCAGTTCAGAGTTGGTCTTAATTACTACCGGTCTCTTTATTTGTAAGCTGACAGTAATTATTTTTTAATCTGTCTGGGCTATAGCGACAGGTTATTAAAGTGGTTGTAATAAGAACTACCTGAATCTGTTGCACATGCTGCAACTGCAAACAAAACTGTTGCATGGCTTTCGTGAATTAGGTGCAGGTTTTTTCAAAGGGTCCATACCTGTAGAAAAGTGTACATGCTTTATTGAATCCACCCGCCCCCAATTTACTCACTTTATATTATTTATGAGTGGTGAGGGAATATTCCAGAAGCTGCAGGAAAGGTGAAGGAACACAGATCAACAGAACAAAGCAGAAGCAGGTATTGAAAGATACTAAAAGGAGAACAGTGAGCAGTACGGTAGTGACACCACTAAATCTCCAAATTCCAAATCAAGATAAAAAATCCAATTTCCTTTACCAATCTGGTCATTTTTTGCTTTTTTTATAAAAATACTTACTCTATGATCTTCCAAAATGACTTCATTCCAAAAAAAGTCCAGACAAACCATCTTTGTTTCCAGCGACCACTTCCAGAATATGCAAAAAATACAAGGGAAAAAAAACTTTAAAAGAAAAAAATCGTTTTAAAGGGGAAAAACAGAGTTTAAAATAAAACAAAGTTTTGGGTCGGTAAAGGTCATAGTATTTAGTGTTTATTGACTACTGTTTTACGCAGCTTTGAGCATTATCATATCTTGGTTGAATTACCTTGTATCAACATTGACAATATGAGACGTACACATGAGAATTGTTTTTTGTCTTTTGTATTTGTTTTACGTTATTCATCTGTTGATGGAATGAAAACTAATAAAGAAATGTTTAAAAAAAAAAAAAAAGTTTTGAAAGAGTATCAGTAGTAACTCCTAACCGTCCTACCATCTTTTTAAAAATAAAATATTTTGTAACCTTTTAATGCCTGTTCAACTAAAAAGAAACTGCTACAAGCAGTAAGCTCCTGTAAGTTGAAAAAGAAAGATAAACCTGCTAGGGTTTTATTCATTTCAGACCAAGATTGACCTTCAGACATAAACTGGTTCAAATAAGATGAAATTATATGTTCTGAAAAAGCAGAATGACCTAGCTTTAAATAATTTTTAAAAGACAGCCATAAAAACCATGATTCAGAATAAGCTGCCAGTGTTGAAAGCACAAGATCTTTTTATATTCTCTGATATGAAGCCTAAATTAAATCTCACAGATGTTGAGGCCACAACTATTTCCTCATCTGCACCTGGAATAAGGGATCTGAAACGATCCATCTGCAAACGAGAAAAATAATCTACAAACTTGTTGCTCCTTCCAGATATGTGCCAAGCCTTAATCCAGATGTTTAAACTCAAACATTTAAAAACTAAATACCTAAGAAAAGTAATAACTACTGGAGGAGATTTAGAAGATAAACAATTTAAAGCACATAAAACACCTTTATTATCAGTACTAAATAAAATTCTTCTATTCCTAAAACTATCACCCCAAATTTCTATAGCTAATAAAATAGGGCATAATTCAAGCAAAACTAGATTTTTTACATAACCTTTGTTATGCCAGCTAGGATGCCATGAACCCACACACCAATCCACTCCACACCACACCACTCCATATAGTAGAAACACCAACAGAACCCGCAGCATCTGTAAAAAGGCAAAAATCCTTGTCTGTCACAAATTCCCTTTGAAAAGTTGACCTGTCATTGACATTTTCTAAAACAATTGAACCAAACAGACATACACTATA